CATGTGTCAATCAGCTCAGTCTTAGTTTATTCACAACTTCATCAACTGAGTGTGCTCATATCCGCTACCTTCATCGTCCATGTTTCAAAGGCACATTGTGGGGCAAAGTTAACGGCTGCGCAGTACAGTACAAATTCTGTCAGCAGCACGGTGTGTGTCACTTGCGTCACAAGTGGTATAACCTGAAAAAAGCCATCCCATCTTTTTGTATTCGCGGAGACGTGGCTCACCAGCTTCTCTACACGATCTCCCAGTGAAAAGTCACAGTTTGAAATTCTGCCATACTTACTCTGGCTTCAGCAAGTGGAACACATCATAAAGCTCGGAATAAAAAGCATGACTAACAACTTAGTTCATAATCCATCCTAGGTAAATCAATTGTAGAATGTTTTTCAACACTTTCGCATTCCTAATTAAATTCTAATGGCTATCAACACACTACAAATGATCCAATCGTATGAGTAAATCAAATAGTTAACATACTTAATCCCTTCACCCCTTTTTTTTTAAACGAGGAATCAGTCGGAAATAGTTTATAAGCAACAATGAATTAGATCATTTGCTTTTTATCGTGTTTACTAATGACCACGTTGAATCATTATCTCAGCAAATCAAATCGAACTGACTAAAAGTTACATTAGGTAATTACGCGGTTCATATCTGGTTAGACATTTGGGATTCGAGAAACAAATCCTAAATATACTCAGGAATTTACTCAAGGAGTTCAAAAGACTGTACATTAGTCAGCGTCATTGACTAAGAGGATGAGTGAAAAAACAATGCCATCCTAAAGAGACGTAACGTCACTGTTTTTGTTCTAATTTATCAAGGATGTAATAATAAAAAAATGGCGATGCAACACAAACCAATATAAGCTTATGTAATAGACTATCATCCACATTTGTTGTGTGTGAATGATACTGCCAAGTTGTCCATGTCAAAGTAGGTGAAGCGGAATTTGAACCCATTACGCATAAACTAAAGATGGAGACAAGCTAACGAGCTACATCTTCACAATGAGCTTGAGTGTATAGTCCCATTTATATCCGACTTTTCAGGGACTGACTCACTCCTCTGAGTGCGCCTGGCTGACTTGGAGTATGCAGGTGATATAAGCTCGCTAGATGAGGAGGGTGATAAAGTGAAGAACATTCTGAACACTTTGAAGGGAAATCCCAGTATATTTAACTCGTGTTGCACATTTCACTCGTAAGATGATGCTTCATAATAAGTCTACATCGACTTTTAGTGTAGGCATACAAAAATTAAGATTAAAATGACTATTTAACTTACCTAGGCGATCGCAGCATATCGGTTTGATTGATTGCTAGCGAAATCTCAGTTCAGATACGAGAGGCCTAATTGACCTTTATTTGACGAGAGCATATCTACAGCCGGTTACTTATTCAGATACATACCAAAAGACGACTAATTGAAAAATTCATCTACCAATCGAACATAGATGAACTTCACTGCCTCCTGTTTCCTGCGTCCAGTAAGGCGCCCACATACACGAGCTCATACTTACGCGTGATCGGAGTCCAAACTGGTACTCCAGGATGGGCGGCAATCCTCCACCGATCCTCTCCAACGATGGCTTATAGTAATGTGATTTATCTGTGTCCACCGTTGGTTTAATGTCGGCAGACGCCATATGATGGTGTCTCTCCTTATGCCTAGAGTTAGTACTGGCCAGAAGCAAGTAATTGTCTGGGCGAAATTGCAACAGACGATCACCGTTGTCCGTCCGTTGGCATGGAATTCCGTAGATACCTCCCAGATACCTTTTCTATTGGCTCAACTTCCCTACTTGAGTGTTAAAGTCACCTGCCATTATGATTACATCTGAACGTTTTGCTTTCTGTAACAAAGTTGACAGCTTCTTATAGAATTCATCCTTTGCACCATCTGAACTACAGTTGGTGGGTGCATGGCGGAGATTACGAATAGACATCATCCAGTCTCACGATCCGTCCTAGTCCTAACACATCCATTCAGTCGAACAGCACATAGACAAGTATTTACTAGAAACCAGTCGAGGAGCGTACTTTCTGCTCTGCAACTCAATGCTGTGCCTACACCAGCGAGTCTACGGGAGCTAGCCGTTGGTTTTCTGGATACTCTTAAGGTGAATTTTGAAGATTCACTGCAATGCTCAGGTGAGGTCAATTTAATAACTGCACTCGGGTCCTGCATACTTGTCGTCTCATAGTCACATCACACACCCATAATTAGAGATTCCAGAGTTCTGGTAAGCGCTGCTTGCTATCCGATTTGACACAGATTTCGGACGTTGAAAGCTCCTTCCAGAAATCGATGACGGGGTCTTAAGAGACTATAAATGCGGTGTCGATGGCTTTGATCGTTGACAATTTTTGGGTAATGCGCAAGAGGTTTAATATTAGTAGTATGAGGTGATGGCAGAGGAGGAGCCAGAGTTGAGGGCGATAAGTTAAGTGTGATAGGGTCTTGTGTACTACTGCGTGTGTGCGGGCGGTTGGCACTTCCCGGCTGCCCACGCTGTGGAAGTTTATTTACTAAGGTACCTGAAAGAGAAAAAGATTTGTGTGACCGCAGAGTCCATGGTAAATCTGCTGGAGGCCTGTCACTCGTGGCCCTTTGCGGGATGTTTTGAGTATTGGTTGTTCTATAGCTGGACAGGGCTAACCCACGCCGCTGGCACTGGGAGATCATGTAACAAGAATGGGTGTGCTATGTGTAGGCTGGCCTTTTTTAACCTGCTCCTTTCCCATTAGGAAGGCAGCATCAACGTGGCAGGACTGGTCTTCCTAGGCAAACACCTTACTGCTGTCACACTTCATCCAGTTAGCAACGGTATGACTCCACCCTCAGACCTCCACTGCACTATAATGGTAACTGTTTTTTTTACTACTATCTAACAAACCAATCTGGTATAGTAGGCCTTTGAGGGAACAAGTGTTTCACTAGCATAGATTGCTGGGTCATTGTGGCATAGGAACCCAACCAACACATCAAGGTAGCATCTGTCAGTCTGAGGTTTTTATTACGCCTACATCTTCATTTTTCTTGTTCTCTGCATTATGTTAATCATGTTATCTAGGTATACGTAGCATACGTCAAGGAATAGATTTTGTTTCTAAAATGCACACAAGCAGATAGGCGTTAATAGGCAACATCAATCGCTTAGCCTATATCAAAATGTGTCCTTGTATCACTGCATAGCAGTCGAGGTCGCCTTATCTCGCTTCAGCACATAAAGATACTAGGCAGCAGGCTCGATGTTTTGATGAAGGAAAATGTCTTATATATCTTAGGTCTACCGTAGAACCTCGGTAGGACTGGTCCATTTGTCTTCATCCGCCATTGTTCTTCGTTTGTAATTTGACCTGCTTTTACTAAACTGCTCAGTTTTCTTTGGATTTGGTTGTCCAACCCTTTAATTGGATCGTGGTCTAGTGTTTGGTACACACTTTCATCGTTAAGTAATTCCTGTGCCTTTTCGACATGGTTTGTTTTGTTCATGACGACGGTTTTCCTTCCTTTATCTGAAGGTAATGTTGCAGTTGTCTTGTGTGCTTAGTAGGTGTTGATTTCCTTTGATTTTTACTAGACATACAATTTATTGACGTAGTTCTTGTTGTTGCCCAACATTTAATCCTCAGGTTTTTAATATAGACTCCAAAAAGTATAGAAATATGGTTTGTTTCTATTTCCAGTGTTGTAGTTCAGTCCCTTCTGACGTAAATCGTATTGTCGTAGATAGTAGTTGCTCTGAAAGACTCACTACCAATTCAACTTCTGCTTCCTCTTCTACAATTTTATGTGGTACCTCATTATAGGCTTTGTGTGCCCTTTGATACCTAAAACAGTGCTTTCAGCGAAGGGAATTACTTACCCTTCTTCCTTCCATGAAAGTTATCACGAAAATTCTTGATGTAAGAAGTTGAATACCGTCTTCACGTCAAGAAATACAGCTATTACGGAGCACCAGTAAGTAAGTATGCATGCGTTCCACTTACTGGCCGCGGATGATGACGTAGTCGATATATTGATAGTCAGATTTGGAACCTGATGCATTTTCTCGTGTTTGCTGCTTCTGAAGGTTAGTTGAGTATCTGGTGTTTATACAGACACTTGATGATATGGTTGAAAATTGGTCAAAATAGCGCAGGTATATTCACTTTTTGACGTCTTCGAAAGTTTGAAAATTTTTACTAACCGTCATTTGTTTCTTTGCGATTCTCCTCTGCATTTTAATCTTCTTTAACATCACTTTTCCTATCCACTGGCTTTATGCGTACTACTGTGAAGTGTGGCAAATTGAACCGATTCACTTGTATGCGAGGTTCTATGTCGATTTTGTATCTATGTATGTCTGAGCATTCAACACAAAGTTAGCTTAAGAAATAGCTGGATTCTAGTTGAACTGTTTCTCAAAGTGTTTTACCCATCTTTATCGTGATCACGTATGCAATTTATTTTTGATTTCATATAAGCTATATCCTAAACTATTGAATAAGCTGACGCACTTCGGGTGTGGTTGAGTAGCTAACTCAAGTATGTTTCTGTATACATCGTATGAACGTATGAGATACTGAAATCTTGCTTTGTAATGCCTACATCTTCAACATGGAACTAGTTCCATATTTGGTGTAATACAATTCATGAAGGAAAAATTTGTGATTCACTTTGTTTGTTGAACAAGTTTCTGATTGAATTCTTTTGCGTCAGTAAAGATGTGGCATTTCATTGATGTATAAGGAACGATTTTATATGCTTGAAATCTGGTTCAAATAATAGCGAGAAACTAAACACGTTTTCCGTCTGAAATCTTTGGACTAAATTTACTTAATAAAGAATAAACGTTTTAGTATCACGTCACAGTTATTTTAAGAGCATATTTTCTGCCACTTCTAGTTTCACAACGATCTTTGACGTAGTTTCTTTTGTGAATGTTTGATTAATATATATTTTTCAATGAGTTTCCTTATGTTTGTTTTCTACGTCGTTTTTGCTAGCTTGCGCAAAAACGTGCTCAAGAACAACAGAACTCTGTGAATCAATATAGTAAGTGATTATTGGTAAACTCAGTGTTATTGCATCGTTAGATTTGCTGTTTTTAGATCACTTAATCTTACAAACTATACCGCATAGGATAACATTTACCAAATCGCTCATTTATAGAATAACTGAGACTGCTATGGTTCTTCGAAAAACCTAAAGATTAGTAGTCTATATGTGGTTGCAAGTAGATATGAAGTTTTAATAACCTGCTGCGGTCGTTTCTGCGTTCATCTTAATGAAATTTAACTTCAGTTTTTCCATTCCATGTACGTTAACATGTTCATATGTGGGTGTGTATATATAGGATATCCATCCAGAAACACTTACGAAAGCCCCTCGTAATATGTGCAAAGAAGAGAGTAGAATCAGGAAGTTATCTGTCTCTGAGCATGTAGTCGACTGTAACCATACAGCTTCTTTCCCACCAAACTTCCCGAAAGGTACATATAAACATCTACTTGTTATCGCAGATGTCTTCGCGATACATCATCCGAAGCTAGAACTGTGTGTTCCGAAAGTTTTTACAGTCTTGTTTGGCATTTTTGGATCCAGCCAATCAGGTTAAACACGTTACACAAGACCTGCTCATTTTTATTTTAGCCTATTCATTTTTTCTTTTTACAGTGTAAGATTTTTATTTCTCAAATACTAATTTCATCTCTTCTATTCTATATGACCTCCGCTACTCTACTCAGTAGCATGCTATCTCCTTCCCCGAAAAATTCTGATGACAAACTGTCAGGTTCTCCCGCTTTGAACCGCTTGGAATTTCAAACAGCCTTGTAATCTTCGATATCGGTACCCAACTGTTCTTGAAGTTGACATGGCTAGGACAGTGCAAAGCAGCCGGACCTGACAGTGTGTCACCAAGGTTATTGAGGAGACAGGTAGGAAATTACTGATTAGGGTAACGGTGGTGCTAGTTAGCGTATAGGAGTTAGAGGCAGTTCGACTAGACTGCTAGAATCTAGTCATAGAGTGCTGAACTATAACTTGTTCGAGGCCGACCTTTATTCATGTTTTAATTCGGTTTTATTTGTTTTCTGTTTGGTAGATTATGGTACAATTAGTTTTCGATATTCACTGCATACCTGCTTGCATTTGCAATAAGTTTAAAATTATCATCTAACTTTCATTTTTCAGTTTTTGCTTAACCTACTTTAACTGAAGGAATAAATTCGATAGTTATCAAATTCATCGGTCTATGTGGTTGTTTTTCATAGCTTGAGTGGGCTTTTCTAAAGTTCATGTGTAGTAGCCACAGTGTTTCTACTAGATACCTCATGTCTGGATTTTAGTCTGGACCAGTATTGTATTACATTAAAAAATAGATGGTTAAATGCCACCTACACCTATTAACAGCATATTCAAAGTAATTTTAACATATGATACCCGTTTTATGTGTTTAGAACTGGGTTAACCATTAGAGTACCGCTTGTTAAAATCACCTAAATGTTGACAACTTGGCTTATTGGTTCTATGATTTGGATGCTTTCCAGATGAGGAATTCCAACTAAGATTGTTATCGTACCAATAAAAAAGCGTCAGTTTTCAGTGAATCAGTGGGTTCTTGTTGATGAAAAAGTAAGTTTTGAGTAGTGGAAATATTTTCAACCAGTCAATAAATCTCCATTACTTTATGGCTTGTCAAATTTTTATCCGCTTTGCTAAAACAATTTTATGACGTGCTTTAATTTGATGATTGACCTCGTTTTTTTCCCGTTCATATTTTCTTTCATCCTTTAAAAAAACTACATCCGTAGGTGGAGATGATTCCGACTTATCGCCAACTTCAGCTCCAAGGTTAAAATCCAATGGATTGGTTTCTCATGCTTCAACTAAAACTAATGGAAATTCCAAGTACATATCTTCTTCACCATCGAATGGTGCAAGCAATGATAATAGTAGGACATCTCCATCTTCACCAAATCAGTCCTCTAATATGAATACTCGTCGAGCTCATTTCACACCGGGTGCTGATGGTGAAAATATTCCGACTGATCAAAGTAAATCACCAAGTGATGATGTTGATAAGTCGGTGTTTCAAAGAAATACACCCAAATCGCATTCACAAAAACGTGTAGTTGCTTACTGCACTGCTATGGAATCAATAAAAGCAAGTTCTGAACCAGTTGAATTAGAATCGGAAGAACGTGAACTTATCCCGTGAGTAATCTGTTATCACAAACTCTTGCCAAAATATTATGAAGCTAATCAGATCCGTGAGTGAAAAAAATGATAGACAGACTAATAAAACAATGAAGTCTTCAAAATTCTGAGAAACAATGCAAATAAATGCAGGAGGTGGGGCTTACTGGTTAGTTGGGTTCATATCTCAAACTACCTACCTGCCTTCGCGTAGTTTGCCTGGTGAAATCATAAACGTTGTTTCTTCATTCCCTCGCTCTCGTCTTTAGTTTCATTTCAGTACTCTTTTCGATTACTCGATATTTTCTTTTTAAGGTGCTACCAAATAAGATAGCATGAATCAATGCACCTTTGTGTTAGGATATACACTTTGTTGTTCTTTTTGTATAAAACTATATTAGATAGGTTTACTTTTGCAAGCTGGTCATCGTTTAATACAATGGTGATTGAACTTGAGCGTGTCGTTTAGCTGTCCATGAGTTCTTTAGGACTCGTTTATTCCTTAATAGAAAGACAAAGTTGCTGCCAACCTGAAAAAGACTTCTAAGCACCTTGAAGCAAAATGTAGCGATGCTTTTCACTTTCTTCAGTAATATTATCCATTCTTTCCTAACTTGGAAAATTAGGTAGATAGTAAAATTATCAGTCTTCCTGTCTCAAGAGATATTTCGAAAAAGATTGCAACTATGAATAGTCATTTTTCTTTATTTCAATGTTAGGTAACAAATTATCAGATTTCATTGTACTTCAGTGCTATGCTATACACAGAAAAATTTGATATATCTTATGTATATGCGACTCTTCATCTGAACTGTTAACGGGTCGGTTGCTAATGAAATAGCTGGGACATAGAAGGCTCGGTTGGCATTTACTAACCTACTTGATCTCAAGCGCTTGCGAGATATCCACCTGCTTTCAGTGAATAGGATACTGCTCCACTATTCAATTTTTTTTTAGTATGTGACAGTAGGAAATGACCGTTAAAAGCAGGTGTGAAGAGATTAGACGTTGTTGACCACAGGTGTCTTCGCAGCATCTCTTATGTATCAGGTTAAGATAAGGGTAGTATGCATTTTGGTCAATGACGTTGTGAAGTTTCACTGACTGACGTGGCTTGGACATGTACCGTTCATGCAAGACTACTGACTACCTTGACGTGCAATGCTAGGAGTTGGATTAATTTGTAAAAACGTTCATGGTGGCAAGATGAAGATATAACACCTATGCTTGAAGTTTCTGATAGTTGGTCTGATCAGTGTAAGGAGGTGGAGACTGTAGGGTTGAGGTCCTCGAAATGATTGGAATCAATACTTAGTTAAATGGTTGGAAGTTGGTCACAATGTCGCAAATGCATTCACTTTTTGATGTAATCTAAAGCTTGGATATTTTCTTTCTTCCCCCATACTTTCTTGTTCACTTTTATATCACTTTTTCTATCCACTCATTCTTTACATACTGCTGTAAGTTGTGTAAAATTGGATCGATGGATTTCCGTATGAGATTCTGCGTTGATTTTGTGTGTCTGTCCGTCTGTCTGCCTGTCTGCGAATTTCTCAAAAAAAGACTGAGGTTAAACATTATTAGAATAAATTATTTGGATTGTTTCTTTGCTACTTATAAGTAACTAACTGATTTGTACTGACATTTCAGCATTTATGTTTCACTGTATGGTATAATCTTTCATTCTCTGGAAAACTGTCACAGTCGCTTCTGTAATTTGGATGGCAGGGATTCGTGTGTTAATTTAGATCTTTGTGGATTACCATTTCTTTTTTGTCATCACGTTGGTTACTGAAATGTTTCGACTGACTTATTCATCATACGAAACCTGGTTTGTATTTCTATTTTATCACTTTATTTATTTGTTGTATCGGGAAGTTAAACATGTTGGTGGTGATTTGGTTAGTGTAGCTATCATTGATTAAAAGACCCGAAGGAAGAGAGAGATAAGTCTGTGTCTAAAGAAGTTACTTTACGTTTACAATTTACTGTTGTTTTAAGACTCAAGCTTATATTACTGCTTATAAGCACGAAATATTGTACATAGTATTTTTTTCCCCAATAAATACCAAAGTTTTCATTTGTGCCGAGATTGTAGTAATTTAGGTTAGCTAAGGGGTTTGTTGGCTTGAAGATGCTTTTATTGCTATCCTGTCTAAACTCTAGAAATTTAAATAGCACCTGTATAAACGTTGGTGTAATACTTGAACTCTAGATACAGACAATCTTTTGAAATAGATTAATCAACCTATTTCTTACTGGAAAGCATCTTAGTTTTATTCATTATTCTGTGCCTAATAACATTAAATGCGAGAACTAAAGAGTGACAATAGGGTCTAAAAAACATTTGCCTTTAACAGAATGGTTGAACCAACTATTTTGAGCACCAGTGGTTAGTGGACGTCATTCTACAGTCTTTATAGACTCATCAAGAGGAGTTTTATTGTTATTTAGTTCTCAGCACTAGGGATACCACTAGTGATGGTTCTATTTTATTATACATGATGATGAAAAATTATTGATTGCCTCTGTTCACACATCATATGTAATACACTGTGACGTTAAGTTACTTTCTTAAGAGAGTAGATTGCATACTCCAACTTCGATGCAGACATCATGATGTTGGTTACATTCTAGAAATGTATCATTGTATTTCTCGGTGCGTTGAATTGACTTATGTCTGCCCATATTATTTCTTTCATATTCTTCAAATTCTGTACTGAACATCAGACTTCTTATAGTTCGTTTCTTCAGTGTGCTTGTTATTGGTATAATGTGGTAATTAATCGAATCATCATCACTAATTTCACTCATAACATAGACGATTTAAGCAATAATGTTACCAACAGAGATGACTACTTACCCCATATTTACTTTCCCGGTATATAAAAATCGACAAAATCATAATTTCTTTCTTAAATCCCTTCTGTTCCTCTACATTCTTGTTAAGAAAGATCAATGTTTTATTTTATCCATATATCTAATGCACAGTATTTGTGCGAATGTAAGCTTTAGTATAATGGTAGCGTGTTTTGAAAAGCAAGATTTTTCTGAAAGTTTCATTGTGTATGCCATAGCTTCCCTAGTAAAAATTACTTAATATTTGGAATTTCAAAATTACTTTTAAATATACTTTTTGTACCATTTCATTTTTCTATCAGATCTGGGGGTATTCCTGCTCGTGATACAAACGGTGATCGGTTGCTACTGTACATTGGTATTATTGACATCCTACAAAGTTATCGAATTCTTAAGAAAATGGAACATGGGTTCAAATCGCTTGTTGCTGATGGTGTAAGTTGCTGTCTCTTAATGTTATGAAACTGGTTTTTACCATAGATTACATAGTTTTTTTTATTGTTTTTCGTGTCAATGCTGAACTAAATTTTTCCGGCATACTATCAACCTCAGTGTTCTTTCAAAGGCTTCAAGTTATCACTTCCTGACCGTGACTTTGCCAAATAACTGTGTGAATTTAATAACTTGCATCTGAAACGCTGATGTTTTTTTTCCCTAGTGAAGCGTATATTAGGATAAATCACATCGCAGCCACTTACTGCTCCGTCAAGTCTTCACTTGACTGTCAGTGCTTATATAGACGTTTTTTATTCTACAGTGTGACAACTCACTCTCTGATGCTCAACAAAACCTTCATTCTCATAAACGTAGTCCTGGTGTTATGACTAAATATCAAAAAGAATATTACGTGTTCATTCGTCGAAAAACGATTGTCGAGCATTGCCCTACACCTACAATATGCCATAAATATTGCTGAGTAAAGTCAACTGCAATTTAAAAGACATTCACATATGAAAAGTTAGTCTGTGAATGTTCATCAGGATTTCTGGTTGCTTATCACTTTATTCTAAAAGATGGAAAGCATATTGCTTTGCGTTAGTCTTCGAGTCTAAAAATCACATCATATTTTCTTAAGGTTCCACAGGCATATCTTCATGACACATGAGTGATATGGAAGCAAAAGCTGCATCTGGTAATGGTCAGAAGCTATTCCAACTCATCGGAGCCGCCGACATCTCAAAGCTTGGTTTCATTGAAACAGTCAGTGTGATAGGAAATATATCAAGCATCGTTTTTTTCAGTCTTTACCCCATAGTCTAATAGTATTGACCCACCCAACGAAGTGGCTGTCTAGCTAGAACTTTAAGCATTTAAGCACGATTACTTTTTGGGTATTGCAGTTCAGTTGATGGAACATGAAGTCATTCATCTAGAGGCATCTGGCTTGAGTTCTACTCCAACCTGGGTTTTCATTTAGTCTTCAATAATTACTCCATATAAAAAAAATGCTAGACTACCAAATTACACTATTTCAGCAAGTCTCATTAATGAAGAAAAAAGTCCACTTTTGTGACTACGCTTACTATTTTTGTTTCTTCTTACCAGAAAACCATTTCAGTGACACATCCACTGTATTATGCTCAACGTTTTCAAGAATTTCTCGGTCGTACCGTATTTAAACGAATACAATCTCGTAAGTACTAATCTTTGCCATCATCATTCTCAGTGTTGAATGGAAGGTGTGGTACCTTTTTTGTTTTCAACACTCATTTGTTTGTTATTTTTGTGCAATTTTATGATCATAACTCTAGCTCAGTGTATACTGAAATAACCATTCTACTTAAACCTGATATCTAGCAAAGATGCTCCTGTTAGGAGAAACAACTGAGAGTGGATTCTTGACTTTTAAAGGTACTCCGATCAATCCACACTTTAGCAGGTGAAATTATCATCATCCTGGAATTTGAGTGGGATCTTGTGATATTTTTATTTTGGGTAAGCACATTCATTGCTTTTATCTCTAGGCCATTTGTTATTCGTTAGTTAGTGCCTTATGATTCAGATTCAGTTGAACTATCTTAACTGAAACAGACTCACATAGCTCCTCACTGCATATGGGTCGATTGTGAATCCACCAAATCGTCTTACATCCCTTATCATTTTACGCTGTTGGGGGTTAACATTATTGTGAAGTTGAAGGAAGTCGATATAGGATTTAAATTTGTTTTCAAAGTAGCATAGACTAGCGGTTTTTAAAGGTAATGTAGTGCCAACTATTGTTGTCTCTCAGTCTAACAGCCTTAGTGCCATCGATGAGTCCCAGATTTAAAGACACTCTCGATCTTGTCTCGCCGGTCATATTTCTAGCAAACATGAGGTATTCGCCTGTTAGCCTTCAAATATCGTACTTCAAATACTCATCTAACAAAGCATATCACATTAGTCTGGAGGTTTTCACTTCTGAAATATGCGGTACCCCTTCAGCTAAATGGTTTGCAGTATCAGGGGAATTACAGCCGACAGAAAATTTTGAAATAATCAGGCTGATGGATAGATCACCGTAGAGCGTGGCACAGAAGTGCATCAGTTCAAGTTACTTCACAGTAACACGCGAAGAAAAAGTAGGCAGAAGTGCACTAAAAGAGAGAAAGTTTGGTGAAAATGTTCACAGTGTCGATTACAAAGAGTATGTACCTCTCTGCCGCTGTAATCGATTTTGAGCCATATCACTTAAATCCTTCAATTGTGGATTCCTATCATTTCGACTTATACAGCTCATCTAACCAATAGTGGTGGAGGGACCTCATGCACTGAGGACATTTCTTGTTCTGATTACCTTTAGTCTTCTTCCAATTTTGCTCCATTCTTGATTTACGAGTTTATGGAGACCAATCCTGAAGCATCAACCTACATTTTGATGTATGTGAAATGCATGCTAAACATACTTTAGAAAACGTTTCATTCATTCAGTCAGTATTTTTATTGTTCAGAAGTATATCGTTTATGTACTCTAAATCAACCAGGCACCATTCCCGAACTATGTAACTTCTTGAAAATTCGGTTGTAGGTAGAATGATATCTATTAGCACGCCCATAACAAACATAAACAGGAATGGTAATCATTGACATCCCTAAGGGACACCGCTGGTTGTCGTTATTTCAGGTGACAACTTCTCATAAATCCTTACATAAGCTATGTGAGTCTGAGTCGAAAGCTTTGATCACCATAACACACTTGTTCGGTACTCCCTTCAAAATCACACTGCCACAAAATCTGTCGGTCGACAGAGTCAAATTCTGCGTCCAGGTCAAGAAATAAGGCAAGTGTCGGGCTCCTTCAATTAATTCTGTGTTCCGAAACTTGTCGGTGGGTGAAGACTTGGTCGATATATCCTCGTTCAGCTATTGAACCTGCCTGATTCCCTCGAGTATATTGTTCCCAAACTCCACTTAGGAATTAGATAAAAACGGAACCTAGAATCTTGTACAGGATATTAGTCAAACTGACCCCTATGTAATTGTTACAGGAAGACTTCTCCTTTTTCTTAAAAAAATTGAATAATCACCCATCTAGTATTAACTTGTAGATGATTCTCTCTGATTCTTACCGAGTAGCAACCATAAATCTTTCTTATGTAACCCCTATTCATGTATCAAAAAATTGTAATTTAAGTTGGCATTTTGACTAATTATTCGTAAGGTTATCCAGTTAAACTCGTTCTGGATTTTTAACCAAAATATTTATTTCACTTGACCCATATATCTACAACGATTCAATAGACATCGGTGCAGTTAGTAGAAGATCTAAGTTAGGTTTTAGCCTCCTTCAACAGTCAATGCTTTTTCCCCTTCGTCATCATTGAATAGATAGTTGTGCTAACTGGTATGATGTTCTAGATGAATATGCATTTTTGTCTATGAAGATGCAATGGTTAGAACATATTTTGCTTGAGGTACTCATTCATATTTGCATATTTTTGTTGCAAATTCTGGTTACTAAATTACATTAAGATACATTGTAGAAAGGAGTGATCTTACTGACTGTATACGGCAATCAAACAGAGGATAGATTTTAATCCTTCGAAGATTTAAATTTTGTGTGTCAACGGATTGTCAAAAATAACTGAAGATTTTATCGACAACTACGTTTAAGGATTATTTCTGCTTCTATAGTGTATTTGCCTCTATGATCATTACTATTTATAAATTTTACGTTTTGACTCTTCTCCCTCCTTTCATTCACTTTTAATCGGTAGCTTCATTTGAAAAGTCTACTGATTATGTATAAATGGAATGTCTCCATAGCGTAGAATGAAAATCTATTTTTGAACATGTTTGATGTACATGACTTGGATTTTTTTGTGTAGATTCATAAATGTCTGAAACTTAATCTTGGTATTTTTTTAACTTTAATTTTCATTTCGGGTTCGGTATTTACACCTTAGAATCTAAACCATCTTCATCTTCGTGTTTCGATCATAATAACTGGTGTCACCTATGAGGTACATACATTTTGCCATTATAAACTCATTGTCTAGATGTATGTATATCTCAGTGTATCACTTTTCTTACAGAGTCTAGAACTTTGCATACCCACAACATTATATGTAAGGCTACTGAATATCTATAGTCATCATTTGAATAGCAGGTAAAGCTGAAAAACACTTCTATAGACAGTGACAGTGGCTTATAGGTTTGAATTTTACTTCATCTACTTGGCTGTGGACACTTAATATCATGAACCCCTATTCCCTTTACGATGCTTTACAATTCCCTTTTAATGCTGTGTGACAAGCAGAGATGGCAGTATTTGTTTTTCGTACATGCTATGTATCTTCGATTATTGATTAACTCAGCTCATCTGATTCATTTCTATTGACATTGAATTATCGATTAAGTTTCTTGAGTCTTTAAAACGTTTATTAACATAAAGTAAACTGTAACCATATGTGTCAACCTATTATACATATTATATACTTAGAATGAATAATGGGATGATTATTGTGTCGTAAGATATTTTTTTAATGAACTCTAATATTGCTGTTATTTCTACGGTCTGTCGTTTGTAGTACTTGTAGAGCGATAGTGAGCATTTTCTACTATGCATAAATAGTTCACTAGTATTAGTAATGATAATAATAATCACAAACACAATGTTTTATGAGCCTTATTTGCGTCTTGGAATAGCCTTTTTTGAAGAACGGATTTCAACTAAATTCACCCCAATAAGGTAGCATACATTTTAAAGAAGTACAGAATATTATTTTGGTGGTGTACCGAAGTGATTATACCCGACCGAGAGATAGACACGCCGATTAGAATAAACATCAGAGATTTTGATAGTGTTGTTGTGTAAATAGTTTCGGTTACATCATTATAAGAAAGACTAAGTCTGATGTTTGTTTGTCCTGCTAATGAGGAAAAGTGGAGCTTTCTGGGATTGGGACAGTAACATGAAAGTTGTGGATACTTTTTGATTTGTGTGCCTCAGTGACTTTTTATTTATCTACAAAAGGTAAAAGTTGTCAAATTTTGCTCGTGATAACATTCAGGAAATGATCAAAGTGTTAACAGTAGGATAGTATTTCCAATTTCTTTTTAACTCTCTTTTGAAACTTAGCAGTTTGGTTTTTCATCTGATTTATCTTTATATCATGCTTTGAAATTTGTTAAAATTTTTTCGCTGCATATTTCACAATCTTTTCATAGTTATAGTAATTTAAAATTGATTTCACTGTTCAACAAAACAGTTTCAATATGAAAGTGGTTCAACCTAACCTTCAATTCAACGTCGTATTTTTGAAACATTATTTATGCTTCATCACCTATTCTGTTTGTTATTCTTTGAAATGTCACCTACATATACTAATATGGGTTTTGGCTTATCAGTATAGATACTCACCTTTCGACCAGTTGGCCAAGGGTTCGGATCCCATTCCACCTACCAGATTCTGGGGAGTTGGGTGGTATTATTTACTCTTATGCAATAGATATGTCACACTGCATAGCCGTATTTTTTCTAAACCGTATTTCAATTTCTAGGTTTCAATAAGTACTGACTGTAAGAGCGTAAAGACAAAAAGAAGCTTATGCGATTCTGTGAAATATGTACACATGTTCTTCCTCCCAGCGTTTTACTGAGAAGCATTGCAGAATGATCAATAGAATTCGATTAGCACATACGACTAGATAACATGAAATTGGTTGCTCTCTAATGGTCACTCAATATATCTAATGCGGTCTAATAGGCCCAATTAGCTCAATGGTAACGTCTCTGACTGCAACTGTAGGTGACACGAGTTCGGACCTAACAGTACACATCAGTTCCTTTGAGACTACTGGTATGTCTTGCTGACGAGAGCCAAAAAGCACGGTACATATGTCCAGGGCCACTTACCGATTGCTTCTAACCGTGTAATAGAAAGAGTTAGATTAGGCGTGTACATTTTTATCCGTAAAAAATAATCAATTATTAGCAGTTGTAAAAATCTTTTAAAAAGTTGGTGATGGTTGATGATTGAATTCAACTTCTAGACTCAACTTTGACATGGAGAACGTGATCAACCTTATATTCCCATGTATTACGACCGTATATTAGGGGAGAGCGAACCGCTATGTTGTGCATTCCACTTTTTAGTAGACATAGGTGTCAGTGTCATTGACGGCATAGATTGATGGAAAACAGTCTAGTCT